TTTTTTTTGGGTCCGGACAATTTTGCACCCCCGGAACGGGTCCAGACTGTCCGGTGTCCGGTGATGTCCGGATCACCGGACAGTCCGGACCGGTCCAGACACTGGTCCGGAAGACAGCCCGGAAGTGTCCGGTGTCCGGGTCCGGGGTTACCATGCTTTTTTCCCAAGTATATTAGTATTATTAGATTGATTTGCCTTTTGCAATCAGACTCGACTTCAGACTTGCTCACAACATGCACACACGAGAACTGATGGCAAAATCAAACTCCGCAACTCAGAATCAACAACGAACTTGCGATTAACTCTGTTCAACTGTACAACTTGCGGCTATGGCCGCTGAACACTGTCTCAACCACCAGCCTCACTCTCCCTCATGCACGCACGTACGAGGATCACCCTGAAGGTCCAGGCTGTACGCACACATACTCTGTACACCCTGTCTACACCAACAGCTGGGCGGCTATGGCCGCCAGCGTCTTCCTCCTCCGAGCTATGGCTGCCGGTGTCTCCCTCGCTGGTTCGCTATGGCCGCTGTCTTCTTCACAGCCCACTTCTTCTCCGGGCACCTGCAGTCCTCCACGCACAAGATACCAAGGCAGCTCTTCCGCATGGCACACAGGCGAATGAATGAATTGCTGGATGCTGCCTGTTCATTTATACTTCTTCAGAGGTACCCGGGCCTGCCTCAAAACGTGTGGGCCTGGGCCAAAACGTGTGGCCCAGGGAAACTTCCAGACGTTTGGCCTTCTGGGCCAAAACGTGTGGAACCCACTGCAAGGTCCAGAACCTTCCCCACGTGCAGCCCCTACCCCTGGTACTTGCTGACTGGACTGGCCTACAGGGACCTACGACCTTCTAGAGCCTACAGACTTACAGACAGACTCTAGGCCTCAGTAGACTCAGATAGAGACTTCTAGAACAGACCTTCTAAGCCTAACGGTAACAGACCTAACTCCTATCCTACAGACCTAGGGATCAAGTCCTACTCAGATCGCTGGGCTACAGGATACGTCTAGGGATCGAATCTCACTCAGCACACAGGGTCAATGTACAGGGTTAGGGCACAGGTCTAGGGATCGAATCTCTGTGTCTGCAAATGTCGGTTAACTGGGTGAAACCGTTTCACTCCCGCCGTCCTAAATCCGAGGTCCTCCGAGAACACTCTAACTTAAGGTAGGACCTTTGCCCTTTCTTTCCCTCTCATAGGCGTGTACTATGTCGGGAGCGGTTTCTAAAAGCTCTGTTCTTGTGAAGCATCGGTCGTCCTCGGGTTCCTGGTATGCGAACCTAACCTTATACTGTCTCTGGGGACGACCTCGACCTCCTGTCCTGAACATGTCCTCCACCACAATGTGATTTATATCATATGCACCATCCATGCCAGGCGGAATCATCGATCTCCTGGAAGGGAATCTGTCAGATGTGGTGCAAGGTAACAACTTAGACGCATGGAAGACTGGGTACATGTGGAGGTGTGCTGGAATCTCTATGGTATACGAAGGACCGTCCTCTCCTCCTTTGATTTCTAGGACAGGCCATGGTCCTCTACACGCAGGTAAGAGCTTCTGCGAGATGTTTTCTTCTGGTGCGAACTCCTTTGACTTGACCCAGACTAGATCGCCCACTTGGAACTGTGAAGGTCGGCGATGCTTATTAGCTTGCTCTATCATCCGATGCCAGGCCTTTCTCAAATTGTATACGACCTTAGCGACTTCCTGCTCATGCTGCAACGCAAACTCTCGTGTGTCGGGTGGTAGTCTCTGTATCTGGTCCCGGTTTAGTCCCTCAAACGGTCGCCTAGGTCTAAAGGATTTATGTAGCTCATTAGGAGACCTGCAGCTAGCTAGATGAACACTGTTATTGTAGGCACTTGCTACCTTGGGAAGCATCTCATCCCAGTTTATCTGATCTGGTCTAATATACATTCTGAGTAGCTGTTGCAAGATCTTATTCATCTGCGTTGTCTGGCCATTAGTCTCTGGGTGTCGTACTGACGACATCCACAACTTAGACCCATAGACTTTCATAAGATCCTGCCAATTCTGACTAGTAAGCCGCGTGTCCCTATCACTAACTATGGACAGCGGCATGCCATGCTCGCTTACCCAGAAGTCGAAGAACTTATTAATAACTAAGTTTGTACGTGCCTCTGAAGGCAGGGGAACAAACACTGCATACTTACTAAATCTATCTACTATGACCATGACTTGAGTCTTGTCGTGCCTACTTTTGACCCTAGTATCCATGAAGTCGATGAAACTGAATCTTCGGGTCCTGATGGAATAGGCAAGGGTCTAAGAAGACCTAGAGGGGCTCTCATTGTAGTCTTGTTGCGCTGAGATACTTTGCAGCTACGCACATATGCTATCATGCCTGGCCAAGTGTGTGACATCATCAGGTTAGCTAGAGTCTTTTGCCATCCGAAGTGCCCTTCTGCATCATGGCATTCCCCTAAGATCAGGCTACGGATCTCTTCGCTATTGGGGATGCATAGTCTGTCAGCGACGTTGGTCTTCTCAAACGGTAGCCCGTTCATGGTTCGGTAGTGTGGCTCACTATCTGGGGCTTCCCTATCGGACCCTGAGCATATGCAGCCCTGATCTTTTGCTGCAGGTCGGTCCCTATGATAGTGCATTATCGCGCCGAAGTAATCAGCTTTCCTGGCTCAGAGCATCGACTACCACGTTGTACTTTCCTTTCACGGGCTTTAACTCGAAGTCAAACTGATCTATCACAACAACACATCTAGTCAACTTGGGCGTCATCTTGGCCTGGGTCTTTAGCCATCTAAGAGTCTCATGATCTGAATACACCTTGAAGTGCCTCCCAAGCAGGTAGTGCGGGTCTAAAGCCTGCCAGAGAGCGTAGAGTTCTCTCTCATATGTCGATGTTGCGACTTTCTCTGAGGGCAGCCTGGCTGCCATGAACTCTACGGGCCTATAACCATTGCCATCATCTTGCTGCAAAACGACACCTATGCCATATTGACTGGCGTCGGTAGTGACAACAAATGGTGTTGACGGATCAACAACTTTGAGGACAGGGTACTCTATTAAGGCCGCCTTTAATTTCTTGAAAGTTGACGTGCAATCCTGATCCCACTTCCAGATAGTCTCTTTCTTTAGTAACCTACGGAGGGGAGCAGCGATCATAGAGAAGTTCCTTACAAACTTCCTATAGTAATTAGCCAGTACTAAGAATGAGCGCAACTCTGTCAGTGTCTTAGGAGTCGGCCAGTCCCTAATTGACGCACGCAATCTTACTTTCCTCAGGTCGAATACCGTCCCCATCTAGCAATCTTACTGTCCTCAGGCCGAATATCGTCCCCATCTAGTACATGGCCTAGGTAGAGGACCTATATCTTGGGCCACTCGCACTTCTTCGGGTTAATCTTAAAGTTAGACTCTCTTAGCTTGCTTAGAATCTGTTGTAGATGACTCTCATGTTCCTCCAGGGTCTTGCTGAATACTAGGATATCGTCTAAATAAACTACGACAAATCTATCTAACCATGGTCTAAACAAGTCGTTCATGCAACACTGAAATGTAGCTGGTGCGTTCGTAAGTCCAAACGACATCACTATGAACTCGTAATGCCCATACCTCGTCCTGAACGCCGTCTTATACTGATCATCAAGGTGCACTTCTATCTGATGATATCCCGATTTCAGATCTATTTTTGAGAAATACTTGCATCCCTGCACACGATCCAACAAGGCGTCTATACGGGGAAATGGCTCTGCATTCTTAATTGTGATGGCGTTCAGTCCCCTGTAGTCTATGCACATACGTAGTTCCCCCTCTTTCTTTGGGACGAATAGAACAGGTGCGCCAAATGGTGACGAGCTAGGTCTGATCCATCCTTTTTCTAGGAGCTCATCTAACTGTCTGCGAAGCTCCTCTAACTCCTTAGGAGGCATCTTATAAACTGCCCCCTTAGGCTTTCTACTGCCAGGTTCTATCTCTATACGGTGCTGGATCGGTCTGGACACTACTCCTGAGGGTGCTTCAGATAAATCCTTGTATTCTTCCAGCAGACTGGCGATAGTAGGATGGATCTTCTCCTCTTCCTTTGGCTGATTAGGAATCGGCCTAACATAGGCTACAAACACCTGTTCTTCAAGCTGCTCCTTTCGCACAAGTCTGGCGAATGCAGGAGCGCTAAAGCAGCAATGGGCAAGGGGATTATCTACCCCGGACTCATGGAACAGGCGGAATTGCAAGACTTCGCCTGACTCGTTAGGGAGCCTACACTCATGCTCTCTAAGGTGCAGTGTGGGTCCTGTTGCCTCTCCCCAATCCGTACCTCGGACAATGTCAAACGGGAGACTCTCTTCTACGAGGAGGGTCAAGGAGTGCAATACCTTCTCTACCTTCCCATCTTTCTCTAGGCGAAAGTAGGCGTCGACCCCCTCAACATACTCTTCAACACGCATCCTACTATTGTCTGCAAGGATGTTGACTACAGGTTCCTCTAAGCGTTGGACTTTCAAATTAAGCTTTAACTTTTTCAGCGCTTTACGACTGATATAGCTCCTAGTCGCCCCACTGTCTATCAGGGCTCCTACTCTAGCTCTAAAAATTTCTACATCTGCGAGGATAAGTTGTCCTTTACTATCCTTCTTCATCTTCGCCCAGGCTTGCCTCCTCTCTCTTAACTCCTCGACTAAGTCTGTGCGGGAAGCGTCTAGAGAGACCCTAACACAAGTAGTCTCTGGACAACTTACTAGACGCTGGCCTGCAACCTTTGCCATGGAGATATGTGGTGTGGGAGACTCTACTTCGCGCGCACGGTCAGATCCACACTCCTGGGGTAGGGGCAGTTGCGACCCCTGCCGGCGGCTGACTTTTGCTGCCCCAGACGCAGCACGGTCCCTATGCTTAGGACAAAATTTGATAATGCGGCCTAGGTCCCCGCAAAATACGCATTGAGAACTGTTAATGCGTGTTTGCCATACTCCTTGGTCTATACCCAGATCTAGCCAGGGTCGGCCCTCGGGCCAGCCCAGGTGCCACCTTCCCTGTCTGGGGGGTGACCGACTAAAACGTGGACGGTTAGGCGGGGGACCTCCCCTTCCTCCCTCTTGGCAGTTGTCGTTGCCGCCAACCCCCTCACCGCCCTGTCCTCGGCCACTTGGGGCCCGGCCATTCAGATGGGACCGTTGTCCTCCTCCTTGAGGCCTCCCTCCGACCGCGACAGCAGCGTAGGTTCTCCCCTAAGCAGCGCTATTGTCTTCCTCCTCTAGTCCCCACTCGATGTTAGAGTAGGGAACCTTGTCAGCACCAGCTTCACCACCTTCCTCCATCGTTAGTATCAAACTATCTTTGGCCTTGATTTGGCCCGAGATGGTGCGTCCCTTCCATGTCATTCGTTGTTCTTCCTCCTTCGCCTTTCTCCTCACCTGGTCCCTTTCTGTTTCAACTTGCCTCCTCGCTGCTTCTCTCTTCCTGGGGTATGGCCATCTCCGCCTCCCTGTCTTCCCCCAACTCCAAATGTGTGGCCCACTCTGCAATCTTTGCAATCTCGATTTCTTTGCTTGTGCTACCTTCTCCTCTCCTTCTCTCCAACGACTCTTCTTCCTCTACTACTACTTTTTCTTCTTGTTCTTCTTTCTCCACCTCCTCTTGTATAGTCACCAGCTTCACCTCCAGCTCCCTCTTCAGCTCCTCCTCCATTTGCTTCTTCTTCGCTTCTTGCTCCTCCATCAGGGCCACCATCTTGGCCTGCTTGATTAACTCCCTCTTCTCCATTCTCTCCTTCCTCTCTCGCAGAATAGCGGCAGCTCTTTCCTCTTGCTCCTTGCTGTAGGGGGTGGTGCTAGTGCCAGACCTAAGGTCCACCATGGTGACGGTGCACAATCAACACAATTCCGCGCCTCAACACGTAGACCAAACAGGTTAGCTTCTATCGAGGGGTCTTGACTCACTTCTCGGGCTAGACCTACGGTTCTATGACCACATGCACAGAATCCTACTGACTTAGACAAAAGTGACAGGGAGATAGGACTGACTGACTTTGACAGACTTAACGTCGGCAGGTACCAAGGTGAAGGTGCACATACACGGGGTAAGGGAGAAGGCCAAGGCTTGGAAGGATGGTACCGGTAGTCTTCTTGCTCCAGCTGGGTCGACGCTCCGATCAACGGTCTTGGTCAACTCACCTGCTCAATGCCTGGTCAATGCCTGGTCAACGTCTGGTCAATGCCTGGTCAACATCTTTGGTCAACTCTCGATCAACATTGGTCAACACTCCCCTGGCCAACCTTTCAACCTCCCGGCTATGGCAAATCTTCTTATCCTTCGTCATTGTCTTCGTCTTCTTCACCTCGGCTATAGCTGACTTTGTCTCCCTCTTCGTCACTTTCTTCTTCCTTCTCTCTGCGTCTTTCTCTTCTTCTTGCTGGCCGTCTTCTTTCCCGAGCTTGGCAGTTATGGCTGTCGTTCCCCCTGCTCTCTCTCTCTCTCTCTCTCTCTCTCTCTCTCTCTCTTCCTCTCTCTCCGCCGAACTCCAGCTATGGCGGCTTCTTCCTTCTTCGTCGCTTGCTGCAGCTCCGCCGGCGCGGACAACGGGTACCAGCTCCGATACCAATGCAATCAGACTCGACTTCAGACTTGCTCACAACATGCATACACGAGAACTGATGGCAAAACCAAACTTGGCAATTCAGAATCAGCAACGAACTTGCACTTAAACTCTGTTCAATACAACTGTACAACTAGCGGATATGGCCGCTGAACACCGTTTCAACCACCAGCCTCACTCTCCCTCATGCACGCACGTACGAGGATCACCCTGAATGTCCACGATGTACACACACACACACACTCTGTACACCCTGTCTACACCAACAGCTGGGCGGCTATGGCCACCGGTGTCTTCCTCCTCCGAGCTATGGCTGCCGGTGTCTCCCTCGCTGGTTCGCTATGGCCGCTGTCTTCTTCACAGCCCACTTTTTCTCCGGGCACCTGCAGTCCTCCACGCACAAGATACCAAGGCAGCTCTTCCGCATGGCACACAGGCAAATGAATGAATGGCTGGACGCTGCCTGTTAATTTATACTTCTTCAGAGGTACCCAGGCCTGCCTCAAAATGTGTGGGCCTGGGCCAAAACGTGTGGCCCAGGGAAGCTTCCAGACGTTTGGCCTTCTGGGCCAAAACATGTGGAACCCACCGCAAGATCCAGAACCTTCCCCGCGTGTAGCCCCTACCCCTGGTACTTGCTGACTGGACTGGCAAACAGGGACCTACGACCTTCTAGAGCCTACGGACTTACAGACAGACTCTAGGCCTCAGTAGACTCAGATAGAGACTTCTAGAACAGACCTTTGAAGCCTAACGGTAACAGACCTAACTCCTATCCTACAGACCTAGGGATCAAGTCCTACTCAGATCGCTGGGCCTATGTACAGGGTACAGGATAGGTCTAGGGATCGAATCTCACTCAGCACACAGGGTCAATGTACAGGGTTAGGGCACAGGTCTAGGGATCGAATCTCTGTGTCCGCAAATGTCGGTTAACTGGGTGAAACCGTTTCACTTCGAGAGATCGATCATCAAAAGCTCCGTAGAAAGAATTGAATTCAATCCCCCCTAATAGGACCCCGGCAGAAGATGGCGCCAATCTATTGGTGGGGAGCTGCACCAGCTGGAGGCCGGGTCCAGCATTCCAATTTACGCAATACGGTACCATGTTGATGTCTCCCGCCCGTCTATCATGACCACCTCTATGGGAGGCCCATGCTTGAGGGGGAGTGCTTCAGTACAGCCTCCCTGTTGGCGGGCGTCTAGTACCGAGCTGGAAGCGCCCCTACCTCTCTTTCTTTTCTACCCCTCTTGGTTCTGGTCCTTTTCTGTATCTGTCAAACTTTTGCTTGCCGGTAATGAACAACCGGACTGGCGCCCCCCAGAATCAATGGGGCACGTGTGTGTGGGTGTAAGGAAAAAAAAAAAAAAAAAGGTGGGGCAACTACGGTGCATCCACAAGAACAGTTTCACAAAATGCATTTCAGACATCTCTCAAACATAACACACCCCCACCGGACCCTAAAGCTAGCTTGTATACATTCAACATTTTCATCGTTTTGCCTGGAATGCATTTTGATACTCAAACCGTGGCTGCGCCCTAGTTTTCTCTTAAAAAAATAGAAAGTGTCTACATCAACATTACATCCACACGGGTGCAGCTGGCCACCAATAGATGCTCTCCCCACTTAGGGAGGGCGCTCTGCCCACCCCCTTAAAGCACCAGTACATGGCCCCAGCCAAGTTGACAGTCGGATTGACCTTCTCCTAAATTTTTGGAGGTCGTGTGCCATCGATAAAATCAATCGACGGCCGGCGGCTGCGGGCCCCTTTCCACAGGCAGCCGATGTCTGGAATGTACTGGTGGTTTAAGTGGATACTGACTGGAGACCGAAAAAAAAAAAAAAACAGCAAACAAAGTTTAACAAACAAACAAACAAAGTTAAAAACTGACCAAAAAAAAAAATAAAAAAATCTTAACAAGCATACATGGGCATGCCTGACAACTGTTCAAGAAAAGCTTAACACCCATAACTTTTTTTTTTTTTTTTTGAGTTTCCACTTTTTTGTAAGAGCTGGCTTTTGCAAACCAACTTGGGCCTCACTCGGCTACTCACCAAACGTGCAAAATGAGAATGACTCGTTCGCTAGAACATGGAAATATACACTGCCATATTACTTGTCTTTTGTGCATGTGGTAGTAGTGGAGCGAGGCCCCTTGTATCACCCCCCCCCCACACACCCCCAGGGACTCCCCTACACGCCCCAGAGATTTCCCGCATCCCCCCAAAAGGATGCCTTCATTAAAAACAAAAGGTTAAAAATCCCCCAAGGACTCCCCTACACCCTGAGATTTGCTGCTTCCCCAAAAACGGGATGCCTCCACTAACAAAAAAAAAAAAAAAGGAAAAAAAGAAAAAAAGGGATTCGTTTTGGTTCCATGACACCATTTCGTTAAGCTCCTGAATCTGGACGTGCTTTACGCAGACAGACAGAAAACCAGTGCAATCTCGATCTTCTGCACCTTTCCACAAACAACGTCCAGATTCAGGCATTCAATCCAATTCTCGGTGCTAGTGGGACCTTACCACTGTTGGTTGCTTGGTTCGTTGGTTCATTGGTTGGCCACTTTATTTAAACCACCAGTACTTCCTAATGTCGCGCCCGTTAACAAGCCACAATTTTAGGAAATGTACCGGCCACTATGGAAGTGACCAAATTCATCCGACTAGAGACGTTTCTACTCTATTCTTTTCCACGGCCGATAGCTGGGCCAAGTACTGGTGGTTTAAGAACAACATCTGCACAAGTGGATGGCGGCGTCATGGTGTAGTGACGCTTCTTCACTTTATTCCAAGGAAAATGAAAAAAAAATTGAGGACAGTTCCGGTACTAAGAAAACGCAAACACGCCGACTTGTTGGCAGTCCAGTGCGCTTGCTTCCAAATCTTTCGGCTCGGACTTCCGTTCTTTCTGCCTTCAGTATATCACACACAACCAAGAGCGCGATCAACTCACCGTTCAAATAGCATCACTACCTCGCAATGAGGCGTGTGCGGAAAGAGGTCGACGGCCATTGCTTTGACCGGTGTGAATGGCTCGGAATCCGGCATGCGCTGCAGTCGCCGCTTGGCCAGGCCGGTGCCCCCAAGGCCTCGCATCGGGTACCAACCACCTCCTCCAGATCCCTTGACAGTGCTCTTGTCATCGTCGTCAAATAATGGCGTGCAGAGTTCGATGGCATTCGCTGCAAGCGTCTCGACATTGCAAGACACGTATCTGCAAGCCCATCAACAGACAGTTGCAACAAGACACAGGGAGAGGAGCTCAAAAACACTCCTTATGGACCAAGAAATGTTTTTTTTTTTCTTTTGTTTTTAATAAATTTACCATTTAGACCATTTCTCCATTTGTGTGTGTCTTCCTTGTGCAGGGGCCATGCTAATCT